GAAGGAAGGTGTCGCTGGAGTCAGGCATATTCTTGGGCAGCTCTGGCTGCGGGCAGGACCCCGAAGTTGGGAGGACACTTCCAGAAAGGGCCGCCAGGCGGCGCCCGGAGTCAAAATTAAAGTGTGGATGGGCGCGACCTGATGGGCGGAGGCTTGGCCAAGCCCTGGAGAGGTGAATGACAAGAACCGAGCCCGTGGTGGGTGTGGAAACCTGGACAGCTAGAGTGTGTGTGAAACAGAAAATGGGGAGTCTGCTTCCGCCCGTACCATAATGGGGGCTTAAGAATTTAAGTAAAGGCAAGCTGCTGTCATTCCGTCCCCGAGTGGACGTATGTACCCAGGCGTTTCCAGTGCTTTCTTTTGAATAGGTTTACTGGATAAGCCGTTTTCCTGATTTGACAAATGATCAAAGAGCTATCATTCTCCATTCAAAAGAAGAAAGAAAAGAAGTAAGAGGGAAGGAAGGGGGAGAGAGAGAGAGAATGGTGGCATCAGTTTAGAATCCCAGGTCCAGGCTGTTCATGGAACAGCTGCCTTGTGTTTCCTCAAATGTAGTGTTTAAGGTACTTCTGCCCAATCCAGTAACTAGTTAGCCTGCTAATTTTCAGGTGAGCAACTAATACGTCGGCTGAAGTTGAAAAGCCAACGCCGTAGTGGCGTACTCCTGTAATCCCAGCACAGGGCAGGCGGAGCAGCTCTGAGTTAAGACACAGTCTGATCTATAAACCCTGAATCAAAAACAAACAAACCAAGAAAGCTGAGTTTCTCTCCGTGTTAATTTGCGCAGCTGTGTGCCTCTAGCCCACCCCCAGAAGAGGAAGGCGGTGTTGCAGTTTTGAAAAAAAAAAAAAAGCCAGGTGGTGGTGCCTGATTTAGTTCCAAGCACTGGGGAGGCAGAGGCAGGCGGATCTCAATGAGACCAGTCTGGTCTACTGAGTGAGTTTCAAGACAGACTCCAAAACTACACAAAGAAACCCTGTCTTTAAATAAATAAATAAACAAACAAACAAGCGCGTTCAAATAAATAAGTAAATAAACAAGTGCGTTCAAATAAATAAGTAAAAGAGTGAGTTCCAGGACCTGCTCCAAACCTACACAGAGAAACATGTCTCTAAAAACCAAAGAGAGAGAGAAAGAATGAAAGAAAGAAGGAAGGAAAGAGAAAGAACGAAGGAAAAGTGAGCCCAGTGGGTCAAAACTATAATCCCAGCTACTCAGGAAGATAAAGTAGGAGGGACAGCAAGATCGAGGTCATTCAGCTTAATGAGATCACCTCTGAAAACAAAAAGAGAGCTGTGGATGCAGCTGGGTAGAGCACTTGCCTGGCATGCTGGAGACCCTAGCTAACTTCAATTCCTAATGCCAGGAGACGGGACAAAGTGGCTACAGTAACATCATTCAGTGGTCAAATCTGCACAGGAAAAGGAAGCAGTAACAAAGCAGGCAGATGTGAATGCAGTCAAAGGCAGGGTGGAACCCAATACAGTATTTGATTCTCACATCCTCTATGATCAAATTTATTTCCAAATTGGCCCAGAGATACTTCTAAAAAGGAGAGCATTCGTGTTTGGTTCCATTCATTTTGATATTGCCTATTTACTACCTTGTTTTCATTAAATCTTGGCTCCCTTTGTAAAGGATAGTGCCTCTGTGTGAAATGCGAGAATTCCCAGAATGCAATGCTGGGATGAGCTTCCCAGAAGTCCTGGGATCTGAAACCCCTTCTCAACAAGTCTTTCTTCAAGCTCAGTCTCAGCAGAGGTTTGCAGAGAGGTCTCTCCTGCAGAGGATGATGTCGGCTTCGTGTGTGTGTGTGTGTGTGTGTGTGTGTGTGTGTGTGTGTATGTATGTATGTATGTATGTTTTTGCTGCGCACCCACCCGCTGTTGGATCACATGTAAAATATCTGAAATCCACACTGTAGGACTAGCATTCCATCAATAATGCTATTCACAAAGCAGAAAAAAAAAAATGAAGGGCAGCATTTTTGAAATCAAAATTCATTGATACAATGAATCAAAAAGCGGTTGGTTTTGTTACTAAGAGTTACAAGAAGCTGGGCCCTTCTTTTGTAATCTTGCTTGCCTTTACCTTTTATTTCTGTCTCCCGGGCTGCAGACAGCCTGTGTTAGTAGCCATGCCTTCCTGTTGTATGTGTTTGACAGCAACACAAACAGTTGAATGACCACAGTTACCCCTTATCTTCCCTGGAGACTGCAGGGCTGGCCCAAGTATTCTTCTAGAAAAGAGAAACGACTGTTTAAAAATCTCTCATGATTTTAGGCTTGGTCAACTTCTGTTCCATTTTTTAAATTCTATTTCATTCTATAGCCAACTTTGCCTATAAAACCTAAGTTTCCTTTAAAATCATTTCATTCCTTAAAGTCCTCACTGCTTCTCGCCCAAAGACGGTATTCAGACTACTCAGGAAAATGCGCACCTCCGAATCGGACCTAAAACTCAAACCCTGGAGCCCAGTGTTCACAGCTTCAGGCCTTCCCAGGCAGCCTCTGGGTTCCCACCATGCAGATTTTAGGGGTGCCCAGAGGTTGGGACGAACTTTGATTTGCAAACAAATAATGTTTAGGATGCAAATTTGGATTGGGGGGAGGGAAGGGATAGAGCTCAGAGTTAAAATGAGCAACTTTCCGACGTGTTTGAGTAGCTTGGTTCAACCTCCAGTTGAACAAAAAACGGGGCAGGTGTGGTGGCCACGCCTTGAATCTCAGCTGAGGCACGGGCGTGCAGCGCTCTACGAGTTCAAGGCCAAGCAGAGTCTAGGCCAGGGCTGAGGCAGACCCAATCTCAGATAAGATAAACAAATAAGAATTTAAAAACTTTATAGCAGAGCATTTACTAAGAGATTAGGCGTGTCTACGTCTGCCGTGGCTCCTGGTGAAGATGTGCTCCTGCCAAAACCTGTTTTGAGCCTCTACCGTTAACTGGAACAACACAGCCATTTCCGCAAAAACGTGAGACAGGTCCTGGTGCACTTTAATCCCTGGCAAGCACTGCGTTTCCGTGTGGCTCGGGATGGATCCAGGTTATTGCAGGGTGCACTTGGGGTCAAAACTCAGTGTCCTTCCACCTTTGGTTCCTTAAAGTCCGTGGCCCTGGAAGAAGTTCAGTTGAATATGCTTGCCTCTTCTATCCCAACTCCTTGTTCAACCGCGGTAATCAAAACTCACGAAATGAGTATTTCTTTTTTCACTTTTTTCCCCTTTTTGTGACAGGGTCTAGCTATCTAGCCCAGGCTAGACTCAAACTTGTGGCGATCTTCGTGCCTCTGCCTGTATCAGCACCTGCGGCCACAGAGAGTGGAAAAGCTTGACTTCTCAAAACCGTGTTAAAGTACTTAGTGTTTATCTAGTCTACAGACTCTTTCCTCTCCAGCACTAAACTGACGTCCACTGAACGTAAGACAAGAAAACGCAATTCCCCTGTCTGAGAGCTAGGAAATAATTACAAGCCCCAGGGGGAGAGCTTGCCTTATGGGCGACTAGGAGTTGTAAATGGTCCAGCGAGCGACCTGAGAGATCAGGTCCGCCCAACATGCTCTCCCACGGTGGTCTCCCGAGAAAAGTCAAGGCGTGGGGAAGAAAGCCGGGAACTTTGACCCCTGCACTATACAAACAAGCCTGACCGCACCCGAAGAGGGCCACGGGTAACCTAAGTGGGGAGAACTTCCGCGTTTGAGAGAGCCCCGCCCATAGGACCCGCCCACTTCCTGTTCCGCCAATCCCGTGGACCCATCGACCGCTCGGGTTTCCCAGGAAATGCCAATCGAACGCCTATGTGCGACCTGGGGCCCGAGGCCGGCGATCAGGTAAGGTCAGTAGAGAGCCTATCAGAGCGCGGCAGGGGGCGGAGTCGAGGGCGGAGCCGAGTGGGGGCGGGGCGCGCTCCGCGCAATCGGGTGCGATTGGCCACCCCTGGCGGAGCCGCACCTCGGACAGCAGCAGCGGCGGCAGCGAGGGTCCTGCGTGGAGAGTGGAGCGCGACGCGGACTCGCGGGCGGAGGCTGCGTGTGGGGTCGCAGCACGCGAGGACCCGGCACGAGAGCGACTCCGGGCACGAGTGAGAGAAGGCGGTGGCGACTGGGTCGCGGGTGACAGTGCTGAGGTGAGAGCGCGGGCGCCAGAGTGACAGCCGGAGTCCCGGCACGGGGACCCGGAGCAGCGGCCACGAGCATCCCGGCAACCGAGTTGTCAGTGCTTCGGGGGACCGGGAAGGACCGGGACGGGGAGTGCGGGGGGGACCCCGAGAAGGACCGCGGGTGAGGGAGAGGACCAGGATGGGGTCAGGGACGGCGAAGTAAGGAGTAGACTCCGAGTAAGACCGCTGGTGAGAGAGGGGATGCCGAGAGGGATGGGGAAAGCAAGATGAGGAGGGGACCGAGAAATACCGCAGGTGAACAAGGGGACCCCAGAATGGACTGGGCAGTGGGATTAACGAAGCGAGTTGAATAGGGACCTGGAGAGGGACCAGGGGCAGGGGAATGAGCAAGAGAACCCCGGAGGGACTGGGACGGTGGGATGAACGAGAAGATCTGCCCCAGATTGACCACTGAGGAGAGCGGACCGGACTCAGAA